CATCTCTAGCGACTCCAGATTGGCATCCGAATCAAGCATTGGTGGTGGGTCCACATAGAAGACAGGAAGAAGTTGTGGAACAGGTGTTCTGCCTGGTATTTCGACGCATTCTTGAACTCGATCCAGACATCCATGCAGCCAAGACAACAAGGGCCAGATTGAGTTGTTTGAGATGATTTGTGGTGCTAAGGTAATTATAAATCAGCACAGGAGGATAGCCAGCTATAGCAAGGAGGACATACCCAAAAAAGATGCAGCCCTCACTGTCAAGGACGTTGAGTAAGCCACTTAGCATGAGTGTATTGACGTCTCAGAGATTTTCCTTATTCCTGCTCCTTCAGCTCCTGCTGCATCATCGACTCATCATTATGAGACTTTGAGTCAGACTTCTTCTTGTCCTTGTCCATTGCCCGCAAAACCGAGCAGGTGAAGGCAGCGTCAAGATCCTTGAGAAGGACGATGCAGCGTGAGGGAACACAGGCCAAGGCAGAAAAGGAGTGTCAAGGGGTGTGACCGGATGATAGGAGTGTGCTGTAAGGCGGGCAAAGAGGGAGGAACATTGATGATGAAGAGGCTGGTGTGATGGTGGGGTGAGTGCTTCGCGAAATGGGTCATGGAATAATCCTGTATAAACGGGAATCAACATTGCTAAACGCAAAGCGCGACAGAAAGCACTTACCGACTTCAGCTTTGCTCCATTCAACGTACATGTCCCAGGAGATGAACCTGCAGATGGTATTTGGGCCGGAGACACGAAAAACCTGTGCAAGGCCCCAACGGAGACACATGGCGAGCTCCACAGGGCTGCAAAATTGGGCCTCTTCATGCCATGTAGGCTCTGCGTCCAGCACAGGGAATGAGACACACATACAAAGGAATGTCTGGATGAGACAACGAACGCTGGAAGAGTTGACATTGAGGGTGAGGCTGGAAAAATGAGAAAGGGGTGGTGGGTCCACGGGTGTCGTCGAGCTCGTTGGTGATGGTGGACAAGATGGTTGACCTCTTCGAGCCTGAGTACAATGTGATGGTAATACGATAGGTAGCCATAGTCTTGCTCTTGCCCATGGTGGCCTCCTATGATCCTCACAGTAAGCAAAAAGAAAAAGAATATTTTTTTGAAAGGTGCGTTGGCTGGAAGGGGCAACACCCTGGTGAAAGGGTACAACTACACTGCATTTTGGTGATCGACAACAAAAAATGCACGAGATCACGTGGGGGCAGCAAGTGTGAAACCATGATGGGAATGCGCTCAGGGGGAAAGGAGTGATGATAGTGACATAGACAAAAGTACAGACCTCGTTCTGAATCAGATGAACTCATGGCGGAGTTGCCGCCTGGGGGGTGAGGTTGAGCAGGAAAAAGTTGCTGTTGGGGATGACGGGCTCCTCATCGTTTAGCAACAGAGTGGACCTGTCCATGGCAGTGCTGAGGGTGTGGGTCATTTCTGAGTCAGGGACATTCCTATCTTTCTTTGTAGGGATGGTGGTGTGCCTCTGGAAGCGGCTACTGGGACGGTAGCAGAGTTCCATCTAGACACGTGGCCAAACTTGTCAGAGTGTTCTGTGCTGGGCCTTTGGGCCCTTTGGGACTTGAGAGGGTAGAGGTTGTTGTGTGGGAGTGGGAGAATGGGCTATGCATGGAGGGTGAGGGGAATGTGACGAGTGTGTGGCCAAGGTGAAAGCAATGGGCATGCAGGCACGTGCAGGCCCAAGCCCCAGGCAGGGCGATGGGTGACATGGTGACAAGCGACGGTGACGAGGGCGCCAGGGCAGGAGAGGGCAATGAGGGCGAGGGGCAACACATCACACCCGTGACCAGTACAGTAACAGATGTCACACTTACAGATCAGCTTTAGCTGACTTGAGTCAGCTTTGAGTCACAAGCTGTGGCTTGCACTAGTTGGTGAAATATCAACTCGGCTTTGGTCCAGAACCGGCCCAGAGCCGGAGTTGCAGCAACACTAGCCTGGGGTGGGGTTCAGCTGAGCATCATGGAATACACCCCCCACACTATTGCAAGTATGAGGGGTGTAGGGATGGGTGGGTGGTGGTTGAGTGTCATGTTACACCCCAGTGGCATTGGTGGTGGTATTGACAGCTTCTGCTTATGGGGGGGAGTTGTGTTGAGGTCTTGAGGTTGGAGTCCATTGGACGATGTTGAAGTTGGTGGTGGTGTGGTGGGCATTGCTATTGAGGGTGCTGCTGGTGACAGGCTTGTGGGCTTGTAAGTGATGTTCATCTTGTGGCATGCTGAAGTTGGCAGCAGGGGGGCCAGGGACATTGGAAGCTGGGGGGTGGTTAGCATTGGGCTCAGAGGTGATGGTGGCAGGCACTGGGCCATGCTTCCCAGAGGAACAGAGCCCAGGTCCTACCTTAACCTTCCACACAGTTAGTGGCTGTCACTATTGATATGTTGGAACCATAACTAATTATGAAAGCCAACAGACCTGCCACTAAATGTGCCTGTGTTCACAACACCACTGGTAGTGAGTGACAGAGAGGTCATTTCCACAAAGAAAAAGAAGACCTCTGTGAACAAAGTGACTCTGCTTCAGCATGATGCAGCACCCAAGGCAAAGGTAAACCCAGTTCATATGCCTTGTGAAGCTCTTTCCAAGCACAAGCAAAGAGATGATTGGAAGAGTTGTAAGAAGAAAAGAAGAGGATTTATGCCCAGATGGAGATTGAGATTGATGAAGATGAAAAGGAGTTGGAATGCCAGGTGAAAGCTATCTGCTGGCTGTCTGATGTCATTGGAACAGATATGGATGGTACCAAGAGTGTAAGTGAAGATTTTGACATGGACATTGGTGCCACTGGCAGCAATAGTAGTGATGATGTTGATACTGATCCCAAAATTGTCAGTTTGTCACAAAAACAAACCAGGTGAGTTGAACTGATTGCCAGTTGCTGACACATTCAAGCTGAGTAAACACCTTGTTCCAGGGAAATACCAATGTCACTCCTGCTGGTACAAAGATGACAAAAGGTTGCAAAAAGGATGTTAGGGCTGGGAAGAAGTAAGTGCTGCATGTGACAATGGAACACCCAGTCTAATACCATGATTCATAGGTCAAAGGTGGGTGTAACTGCTTCAGGACTCATCCCAAATTGAAAGCAACACATAAAATCTATGCAACAGGTTACTGATGGTATTCAACCAGCCCTTGGTAGGCTTAAGGACTCAGATGCATTTGCAAAGCAGCCAAAATTCAAGGCTTCAAAGCTGTCACAAGCTATCCGGTTCAGTAGTGCTTAAGACACCTCACATAAAAATGAGGTAAGTAACTCAGACAGGCTTGTGAAATGCTGCTTGTTGACCAGATTCTCCATAGAATGTCACTATAATTTCTGAGTCTGAAAGTGACAGCACCACCACAACATCACTGCTAAACCCATCCCTACACCCTAGACACACCAAACCTGTGTTACTGTAAAGCAAAAAAAATTGCAGCTTCATGATGTCACCAAACAACAACCTTGTGTACTTACTGCAAACACTGTCAGGGTAACAGATCTCCCAGAATTTACCCAGGCTGACTTGAAGTGGAGAAAAGTCTTTGTCCCTTCTCTCTACAATGTCCTTTTTCAGTCAGAAGCACCATTCAGGGACTTTATTTTGGGGATAGCAAAGTTCATGGGCATTGTTCAAATGCTCATCAATTGCATCTATCCTGAAGTTAACTATACTGTCAAGAGGGATGAACCCATTCATTTACTTGTGAGTTCTAAATGTTGTTCCTTGTATTGTACTCAGTGTATCTCTCTGAAGGCCTACAACTGTATCAATGAAAAACAGTCAAGTATTGGTGGAAGTGCCATCACTATTATTGCAAAATACCTCAAGAACCTTAAGTACAATGCAGGAGAAGTCAACCTCTGCTGTTGATGGGAAAAATGGGTTGACAGGCCAATTTTTTACCAGAAGCCAACACTGCAAGCATGCCCAACTGATGTGAAACAGAAAGATTACATTGTGAGTACATGCAATTGTTCTTTGATGTCTTTGAGGTTGAATACTGTCTTGTTTAGAGACCAGAAGGGCAGCTGCACTCAGTCTTCATTGTTGAGTTAGCACAGAATTACATTCAATTCACAGACAGTGCTGTTGGTGGGCATGGCTATCTGATTGGCCTCTTTGCTCTTATCTTAGTGGTGGTTTGTCACTTTGTTACTCCATCTGAGTCTTTCCTGACTGGGTTACAATATTTTACAGTTTGAGCATGCAGTCTGTGCCTATACCAATGGGGTACAACATGATGTGCCTGAGATTTCTGACAAGTACACTGTGGAGAGAGTTGCTGGTTATATGGGTAGTTGTTCAAGACTAAGTGACAATCATTGGAACAAAATTCTCAAGGCTTGTGGTGTTGAAAATTAGGACCATTTTATGGAGGATGCACTTGCAGATCTCTCACCTCTTGACCAGCAATGTGACATGCTGTTTACATTCAGCAGCCCCTTGAAGGGGTAGTTGTGTCAAGGTGCATACCTACCCCATTTTCCTTAGAATTGTCTTGAAATTTGGCCATTCATATACATGATACATAACTTGTGTTATTTGGTCTATGTGTAGTACTGAAAAAAAACATTCTTGTGTTTTGTGAACTTGTTTGGCTTTTTGAGCTTTTGCACACTTTTCAACATCATAATAACAGTGGCTTTTTGGAAATTGTGTTGGATATATCAATCTGTCATTCATGGTTATAAAGCCAATACCCCAAGTTGTTATAACTCAACCTATAAGGGACCCTTGACTGAAGGGGACTGCAAAGGAGCAATTAAGACTATATTCAAGTAGAGTATGATTTACTACACACCTGTAAAGGAGCAATTAAGACTAAGGTAAAAGTCGCTCCTCTGCTGGAAATATCAACACCACAAACACGCCACAACACCCAAATATAATAACAACTCTACGGAGCATTGTACTGGCAGAGCGGAGTAAATGCTCCAGCGCTGAACTCACAGATAGAAATAACACAAGTTTGTATCCAAGGCTGGATAGCTCAGTGGTTAAGAGCAACCAGTATATGTCTGGGAGGTCCTGGGTTCAAACCCCAGTCTGGCCATATTCTCTTTTGTGCATCACCTAGTGCCCCTTGGGATTGTATTTCCATTGGGAGGTCTGAGGTCCCATGAATTCCAACAAATTGGAACTTGTCTTGCTGAGCTATTGAGCTTTTGTGCTTTTTCCACTTGCTTGTGCTTGCTCACACTTGCACAAGTTCCCACAAGTAAACTTACAAAATACTAATGCATGTGGTTTGTGAAATTGTTCAACACTTTCACAGAAGTGTTCAAGTGCTGGCCCTGTGATGGCATGCATTCCAGCAGGCAATATAACAGGCACCAATGAAGGCAGAAATGCACCAAACCATTGCAGAAGGTACATACATCAGTAAACATGAAATTTGAAATCCAGTGGTTGCTCCACCTGAATACAAGCCTCTCAGCAAAGGTTAGAGGAGCAAGAAAACACTGACTCACTGCAGTGACAATAAGGCTGTATAGACCTCTTGGTGGGTTCCCTGTATTAAGCAGAGGATATAGGACAGAGTTCTTGGCATATCCAAGGAATTGCTGAGTAATTGGAGTGATGAATGTTGATTTGAGAAAGCCATCAGGAGGCTGATGTGTCATCAATATTTGAATGATTTTATATGGTAGCCAAAATAGAACTGTAGAACTCACAATGTAATTTGGGTGATTTTGGCATCAGGAAAATCTGAAAAAAACTTAGGTTACTTAAATCTTACTTAGAGTCACTTAAGATGGGGACTTGGCTTAGACTTGGCTTAGTCTAAGCCAAGTTCCCATCTTAAGTGGCTCTAAGTAAGCTTTAAGTGACTTTTGTATTCTAAAGTATTTTTCAGATTTTCCTGATGACTGGTCAACCTTGCAGAATTTTGGAGTAGGAACCTGATAATATGCAGGCCCATCTGACTTCAAAGCCCAGTATATATAATCATGAATTTTTTGTCATTGGTTGGCAAATTCAGGTGTCTCAAAAAAAACTTTGACAGCTTCTAGAACACCACTGGCAATCTTTGACTTTTGTGAATTGGCTTGTTGATAGGTCTGTCAAGTCATCATTGTCTATTAGTGATTAATTGAGATGATAAGAGACTAAAGTCACACTGTTGCAACAATAGGATTGTTAGCTGGGAGTGTAAAACTGATGTTTCTAAAGGAAATATTGAAAACATGTTAGAGCATTGAAAGAAAGTCACAGGAGTCAAGGAAGGGCTCTCAGGAGATATAGAGAGTGTGGGTGACCTAGGGTTGCTGAAGTCTGGTTCAGTTCAGTTCTTTGAAGATTTTGCCAAACTTTGAACTTGACTTCAGGTTCAGTTCATGAAATCCATTGAACTTCAGACTGGACCATTTCAGGTTCAAAAGGGTCCGGTTCAGGTTCAGCAGGGGTTTGAATGTTGAAGTGAACTTTTTATAAATTTGAGATGTCTGTTTATGATGAAGGCAGAGCTACATACACTAAGAGTAGTTACACCTCAAAACTGGAGCAATCACTGATAGGATCCACCTCTAAATCATCAAAGGTGTCAAGATGCTTAACTGCCTCATTTATAGCAGTAATGCGTCCATTGTGATAGACACTCCTTAAAAGTTGCAAGGCTTCAAAAGTGGTAACTGAAAGACAGTTGCAATTGGTAGTCCCTGTGATCCCACCTCCTAAGAAGGCTTGTTCTGAAGGTGTTGCAGACCTCTGAATAGCCAGGTAGTCCTGAGCCATCTGAGAGAGGGTTGGGTATTCTGTAGCTTGGTGCTGTTGGGCATGAATCAGTGCATCTAATTTTGAGCTATTAAGGCTGACACACCCCCCAATGGGCAACAACATCCACAATACTTTAACTCATCCCAGGGTCAAACCTTCCTCATTCTACTTCCTGGTGGGAATGAACCACATCATGCATCCATGCATATCCATACTGGCCTTGAGGTTTAATGGATCCTATATTTAATTACTGCCTTTTTCAGATAACCTTGCATGGGATTTTTTTTAATTGAAAACCTAAAAGTTAAAACTGCTATATCTCAGTCAAATCTTCATGGATGGCTGAGATATTTTGTGTGTGAGACCCAATATATATGAGCTTCATTCATGCCAATTTTAAGACCAGAAAAATAAGGTTTGAAAAAGCCAATTTTAGGGCTTCTAAAACCTTGAAACTGCTATATCTCAGTCAAATATTTATGTGTGGCTTAGATATCTTGTGTGTGAGATCTGATATATATAAACTTCATTCATGTCAATTTTAGGACCAGGAAATTCAGTTTTATAGTCTGCACCAAGTGACATTGACTTAATGTATGTAACCTCAAAAATTGACTTATTTAAACCTACATTTCCTGGTCCCAAAATTGGCAGGAATAAAGCTTATATATATTGGGTCTCACTCACAAAATATCTTAGCCATACAGGAAGATTTGACTGAGATATAGCAGTTTCAAGGTTTTAGAAGCCCAAAATTGACTTTTTTAAACCTTATTTTCCTGGTCTCAAAATTGGCATGAATGAAGCTCATATATATAAGATCTCACACACAAAATATCTCAGCAATCTCTCCACATTTGACTGAGATATAGCAGTTTCAAGTTTTAGGTTTTCAATCAATCAAAAATCCTATGCAAGGTCATCTGAAAAAGGCAGTAACTCAAAGTCTTATTACAATAAACAGGGATATCCACTTACCGGAAGTACTCTGCATTGTGGATTGTGCAATTGATGCAACAGTGGGAGCAGTGTAATAAGAATCAAACTAGAATTCATAAAATGAGTACAGTATCAACACTTGGTAACGTTGGCTTATAACTTCTTCAAGATGCCAGAGGCCTGCTTTATGAAACTCATGCTGCCATTTTTCTTTAGCATATGCCATCTTAATGGTTAGGTCCAAAGCTTACTGTGGTGGATCAGGAAGTCGGTTGCCCCAGGTACCTGGTCAGTTGCTTATATCTAAGTAAATTTATACTATTATAGAAATTTTAAGGCAGAAATAGATAAACCATACCTAGAGCTAGGTCCACACCAATTTTTGAGCCCTAGATGCAACTCCATTAGAAACTGTAGCTGTTTTATTGATGTCAAAATGGATTTTTATTGGATTTTGCTGTTAAACCTAAAGGTATCAATTGTTCTGAGAGCTGTATCTCTGCCATTTCTCATCAACTCCATACCAAACTTTTACAGTGTACAGCTGGCACCTTCAATTACCATTCCTAGTATCTACTACCATCATAGTGCCCTCAACAAGTCTCTATCTGCCATCTTCCTGACATGTGGGCTTGGAAGCCCACTTCATATCAGATGAGATAAAAATGAGTCTCCTATAGCAAGGAGGGCAGATTTTGCTCTCAATGTTTTGTGACATCAAGATGGTAGTCCCCCCTCTGATATTCCAACTTTATTGTATTTGTTTCTATTTTTTTACATCCTACAAGTCCACATTTCACTTTTATTACCATATTGTAGACATGGTCATTGTGGAGTTTTTTCTGGGAGAAGTGGGTCATACAGGGTGAAACTGGTCATCCAGGAGTGAAGCTTGTCTTCATCCCATACCTTGGAGGAGGCCAGAATTGAGGGTGTGGGCAATGTTACCACACAGTGCAGAGAGTGAGGGGATGTGGTTGTTGTATCACTATGGCTCAACCTTGCCAGTTAAATGATGCATAAACTACTGGTTGTATCACAAAGTGCTCTTAAATAATTCATATTGAAACCCTGAGTTCTAGCTGCATGAATAAATTCATATTTTTCCCAATTTTTGTTGAATTTCTACAAAATCACAAAATGTGGGCTATAGTAATACTGTGGGGTCCATGTATTTGGTACACTATTGTTGCATTGGGGATTGACCAACATGGCTAGAGTGGTTATGTGATAGGTGGTGAGGTCTGTGAGGCCTGGAGTTGAAAAAAAAGACAAGTTATCTGACCTAGAACTTTGTACAGCACTGATAAATGGCAGAAGTTCCTATGGGTGGCCAGGTACCTGGATTTCTTTAATTTGACACCCTCCCTGCCAAAATATTCATATCTTGATAAGGGGATCACAGAAAAATATGAAAAGTATCTCAACTTGGAGCTAACTAAATGGTCCACCCACCTGTTGTCACTGTGATATAGTGTAGCCTGTACTTCATGTATAATACTGCATTTTGTGCTAGGGTGGCCAGGTACTGGGTCTTGCACAGTAAATAGTTATGAGGATCAGTGAGCTCAGAAAAAAAAACAGAAGCATACCAAGGCAAATAAAGAAAGCATTTGTGTCATTTACTTTGTGATACCACTTTTTGATGTTCTTGAGACCCTTAAGTATTCCATGTTCAACCTCAAAAAATTCCGGATGCTTTACCATATTTTCCCATGATTCAAGGATAAACTCAAGAACTGGGATTGTGTGCCATACAGTAGGCTCATGGACACTTGAGAATGTTTGTTTGGCTGTTGCTGGTTCCTGGGATAAAAGCATTGAGTTAATATTTTACAACACAAAGCAGGTACATACCCGGAGAACTGTATGCATCAGCTCCAGTGTGGTCCAGTCCCGCTTCTGCAGTCAAAAGTCTGAGTATAGCCTTCCTTTCAAGTTGGGCACCTTGTCACTATCATCTGCAAGTTGGACAAAGTGGTTGACTCCCTAATCACATCTAGTGTTGCCACGACTTCGACCCTAGGCCAGTTCTGGGCCAAAGTTGAGATCGGCCAAAGTTGAAATTTAGTTGGGCTGGTCCAGGTCGAGGCTGCAACTCATAAGTGACTCGAAGTCAACTAAAAGTCTCAAGTTGGTAGTTTCGAACAATCCACGGGTTGAACACTGTAGGTGTCCACCTGTGGTATTTTATTAAGATCTACATACAATACATAAACACCAACTAAGTACAGATTTAGTAGTCCTCATTGACTTGCCTGCACGGACTTTGCAGTGCCGCTTGGTGTGGGTGACATGGTGACACCTTGTCAACCTGCTTGTGTGGACTTCACAGTGCTGCTCAGTGTGGGTGACGGTCACTGTGACGCGCTCTCCACACAGATCATGCAGGTTGGT